GCCCGACCCTTGAACCACTGACTTGCCCCGACCGAATAGAATGCCTGGTCATTATAGTTGTCTGTAGTTGGGCCAACTTTCCATCTAGATACACAGCAATAATGACCACGTGGTCTATTCCGATGAAGATGGTTGTATGAGGATCTTTTAGCGATTCGCTGTTCGCCGGCGGCTGCTGTGTGAGTTGAGCAGAAGCACAGAGCAGCTGCTGGTCGAGTGCGGAGGGAAGAACAGGGGTGCTATCTTATCATATAAGGAAAATAGGGACCCCTCTACAGACCATCCAGATAACCAAACGGCCAACTACCTCCTTTTTTTTTTTTTTTTTTTTTTTTCCGAGACAAATGGCCAACTACCGAAGGTGCCCGTCACACATCTACCATCCAACCTCTACAACAACCCTTGAACCTGGTCGCATTAATCACTTCCATTCATTAAGCCGACTTTTAGGGGGACAAAAGAAAGAAGGAAAGAAAAAAAAAGATAGAAAGAACAGGGGTGCTGTCTTGGGTTCAGCATTGCTCACCCTTGAACCTGGTCGCATTAATGAATGGAAGTGATTGATGCTGCTGTTTCTCGGCAGTATCGAGAAACCGTAAACCCTAAACGGGAAAAGAGGTTACTTGGTTAGGAAATTACTGGACTTGGTCCGGTTTTCAGGAATAATGAATCCTCGCTTTGTTATAAAAAGTTATTAAAGGGGTTGACAAAATGAAAGAACGAAAACAGAAATGAACAGAACAGCTTGCAGCTTGATCCGCACACGACTAACGATCTGCAGCAGGACGAGATCGCCAATCTGAGCAAGGCTAACGATCTGCAGCAGGACGAGATCGCCAATCTGAGCAAGGCTAACGATCTGCAGCAGGACGAGATCGCCAATCTGAGCGAGGCTGCTCACCACCTCAGGACCAGCTTCGCGACAAGACGCGCACCCTCAACTCAAAAGTTGGCCGATTGGGAGAGTCCCACACCACGATCCGCGTCTCGGCAGGGTACCAGGTCCTCCTCCATCGTCACGAAGCGACAGAGGGAGGAACACATCGACCATATGATCGCGCGACGACCGGTGACCTTAGGAAGAGAAAAAAAGAACACAGAAGGAAGAGGAAGGGGGGGGGAAAGAAAAAAAAACTTCCAAAATAGAGAAGGACAAAAGAAAACTACAAAAAGAACAGTGATTGCTCCCGGGAATTCTGTTGGCCTCTTTGCACTTCAAATTTCTCCTCTGCGCAGAGTCTGATTTCAGTTCTGTGATCCCTTATAACCTGAACTGACCTGCCAGCCAAACAGCTAAAATTTTAAAATCGAAAAGGAAAGAGGAACTATTTATCGAAAAGCAAAAGCAAAAAAAAAAAAAAAAAAAAAAAAAAAAAAAAAATTTTTTTTTTTTTTGGGGGGGGGGGGGGGGGGGGGCAGGGGTGGGTGGTGATGGTGATGGTGTTCCTCCTAAAGCATGGGAAGAGTCGATGCAAAAAATAATAAAATATGTCAATGCAAAAATATGACACGCATAAATCGAGAAATGGTACAAAAAAAAAGAAAAAGTCAATGAATACAAAAAACTATATTTGAATGCAAAAATAAATAATCGCAAAATCAATTTAGGTTGGATAGTGCCGCTCATATATTCTTCTTCTTTCACTTGACAAGTTGACAACCTCATTCCCCCAAATACAACAACACCAGGTCATTACACCTATCTGTATTCAGTACCACTTTCAGGCCAGATACCGATACAAGGTGTTGTGTTCAGCGGGGAAGAAGGCAGTGGCAGCAGTTTTTTTTTGTGTGCAGCTGTAGCATATACTCAATATAGGAGAGCACCGAGAAACCCAATAGGGTGCTTTAAGACCCCAGAACGGTAGAACCAATAGGCATGCCCTGTTTATTAAGGCATATGCCTTAATAAACGGGGCAGGAGTTCGAAATTTGAATACTCTACCACTGGAATCCAAGACGGTGCTTTAAAGCACCAGTACACCACACATGGCCTGCGGGTGTCAGCATGAAACCCGCACCACTTCGGAGGCCGCCGATTTTTTCAATGGTGCCCCACGCCACGCGGCCCCTCCGAGTTTTGCTCGTCGCGTCAAAAACTTTCTGCAAGGCCGGGGCCGTGTACTAGCGGTTTAATGAACAGGGCATGAGTTCAAAATGCGAATATACTACTGGAATCCAAGACGGGCTTTAAGGCACCAGCACACCACACATCGGCCCGTGGGGGTCAGCATGAAACCCGCACCACTTCGGAGGCCGCGGATTTTCTTATTTCAACAGTGCCCCACGCCGCGCGGCGCCTCCAAGTTTTGCTTGTGGCGACAACAGCTTTCTGCAAGCCTGGGGCCGTCTACCTGCGGTTTAAGACCCCAGAACT